AACAAACAAAAAAGACAACCCAACAAACTAGCAATCTAGAGGCTAGCAAAGTAGCCTGCTTCTCTCACTTCCATGGCTTCCCTAGACAAAAGCTGTCCACCCATCAGCACTGAAGTGACTGAGAGCTGCAGGTCTCTTGGGCCATTGATCAGGGCATGTTTGTACAGTCCCGATGGATCTCTTCTCATCTCTGCAGCAACCTGAAAACTCATCACTTTGTTCAAACTCACTCCTTCCCTAATCCTTCCCCCATATTTCCCAGCTGTAGTCTCAGTTTATCCTGTTTCCTCCTTCCTTTCTCCTTCCAGTCAGTGCTCTTGTCACAGCAACCCTCACCACAGACTGATTGACAGTGTCCTAAACAAAGCCATCTCACCACCTTCTTACCAGAAAGACCCTTTACTCTCCCAAGACAGCAAGAGGGAGACTTGTCCTCTCCTTCCTTGCTACATCAGGCCCACTGCATTCCCTCTGTTCTCTCCCACCTCATTGGTACCCCAATCCTCTCAACATAAGGAAAACTCAGGATTAAATTGTTCCACCAGCAGCTAACAAGCCACAGCAAAACTGGCTTGGCTGGTTGGAGACCAGCCAAATAGCAATACAGTGGATCATGTGTCATGGGCACTTATAGAAATGAAATGTCACTGCACTCAAATAGAGAAGGAAGACTTGATCTCAGGCCATGAGGTGTAAAAAAGCTTTACTGGAATTTTTGCTAGTTGAAACTGATCATAAACTACTTATTTCCACTGCTAAAAGAGGCCTGGCAAGCACATAGCTGGGAAACAATTCATTTTTTTCAATTACAAGTACAAGAATTGTAAACTGGATACCAGCCTGAGCAGGACTTGTGGAAGCAAATAGATTCTCTAGAGTACCTAGGAAAAAATGCAATGGAATAAAGTCCAGAGGTAGGGTATTTACATTTCGGTTTTATTGAAAAACCTGTCTGAGACAAAATAGAGACTGTAACTGACATGTATAAGGGTGTGATGCCACAAAAAGGAGTTGAAGCTTTCAGCATAATGCTTCTGGGGAAGTCTATTTCCAGTTACTATTGTCAATGTTAAAAGAAGCTCCTAGGACTAGCAGGATTTTGTTTTAAGTGGTCAAAAGAATTGAATCTTAAAGCATCATAATAAAGATAAGTGTTTTAAAGAACAACGCAAGCAGCACAATATATGTACATATATATACGAGAAAGCTGTAAGAGGTTGGGTCCAGACAAACAGAGAAATCTCTAGAAGCTTGACCCATGTTTTAAATATAGCAAAGAAGTGAGAGAATATATATTTGGTATTTCAGGTTAGGCCTAAAAATAAAACATACTCCTTGACCCAAGTAATCATAATTAAGCTGTATGTAAAAATGTACATTAATTTAGCAAGTTCTACTTACAGTACCACAACCAGACAGGTAATCACAACCATCAAGTATCTTTTTACTGGACAGGTTGCATTACAGTGTCTGGTTGTTTTTCACAAGTCAGATCAGGCTTAAATGATGGAATTAAATGAGCAGTGGACATCAGAAATATCAGTTGCATCCAGCCTCTCACCTTGATGCCCAGCTCCCTCTGTAACCAGTCCCTACCCTCTCCCAGGACTTGCTATGTCCCAGCCTGGTTACACAGCTTCACTCTGGACCTTGTCAGGCAGTGTTTGCCACAGTGCCCAGCCCACAGTCCTTCTGTGCAGCTACACCATGTCTGCTCTGCCCCCTGGTCCATTCAGCTCTGTGTCACTCCTCAGCTTGCTTCCCTCTCCCACAGTTTTGCCACAAGAGTCCCCCAGCTCTGACGCTTCATCCTGTTGTCTCTTCTTAACCCATCCAGCTCTCCCTCATGCCCAAACTGCTTGTCTGCATTAGCAAGCTGTGGTCATGTAGTCATTGTCTTGCTTTCTCAAGCTCCTTATCTAGACATACTGTCTGTGTTTACATCATTAGACCTCAGAGTTCTTCCTAGTTCCCATGTCTGGATGTACACTTAGTCATGCCCCAGCTCCATGTTAGGATAGAAACCTGGATGTGTATACTGTATGGGAGCCACAGCATGCCCCAACAGGCCCAACAGTTCAGATGACCAGGAAATGAGGGCCCTGAGATATGCTGCAGAGCAAGTAAGTACAGATGCGGCAGCTGTTCTCAGCTAGCTGGCTGTCTAGTCCCAGTTTCAAGTCCAACTTTCCACACACAGTCATTGCTCCCCATCTCCACACCCAGACAGTCTAGGTTTCTGTTCCCTGCTTCAGATCCATCTCACAAAACATCTCTTTCCAGCAGATCCCATTCTGACTTCCTGATCCGACTCAGTTTTCAGCTCACAGCTTGGAATCTTCTTAATTAAGACAAAGGAGGTTTAGGTTAGATATTTGGAGGAAGTTTTTCACTCAGTGGGTGGTGACACACTGGAACAGGTTGCCCAAGGAGGTTGTGGATGCCCCATCCCTGGAGGTATTCAAGGCCAGACTGGATGTGGCAGTGAGCAGCCTGGTCTAGTGGTTGGTAACCCTGCACATAGCAAAGGGGTTGAAACTAGATTATCATTATGGTTCTTTTCAACGTAGACCATTCTATGATTCTGTGATTCCCACTGCCTTGGCTCCAGCAGCAATCCTGGAGAATGCAGAAGACACACATTTCTTGCTTTTGGGCCTAGTATATGACCCTTTTCCATTCTTGATCACTGCTACCAGCTACTAAGTTATGAAGAAAATCTGCTCTCCTTTACCTTAGTTGTTCTGTGAAAGCAGTCAGTACTTGGTCCATAGGCACCAGAGTTCCACTTCTAGACCAAAGAGAATGGTCATAAAATGCCTGATGCATCCCAGGGTTCTGAAGGAGCTGGCTGGGGTGGTTGCTGAGCTGCTCTCCATCATATTTGAAAAGTTGTGGCTGTCAGGTGAGATCCTGGATGAGGTCACTCCCATTTACAAGAAAGGGAGCAAGAAGGACCCCGGGAACTACAGGCCGGTGAGTCTCACCTCTGTGCCTGGGAAGACCATGGAAAAGATCTTCCTGGATGACATGCTTGATCACATGAGGAATGAGCGCGTGATCCAAGACAGCCAGCATGGCTTCACCAGGGGAAGGTCATACTTAACCAACCTGGTGGCCTTCTATGATGGAGTGATGGCATTGGTGGACAAGGGAAAGGCGACCGATGTCATTTACCGGACATGAGCAAGGCCTTTGACATGGTCCCCCACCACATCCTTATCTCCAAATTGGAGGGATGTAGATTTGATGGGTGGACCACTCGATGGATAAGAAATTGATTGAAAGGCTGCAGATGGAGGGTGGTGATCAATGGCTCTATGTCCAGGTGGAGGACGGTAACGAGTGGCGTCTGTCCTGGGACCGGTGCTCTTTAACATCTTTATCAATGACATCAATGATGGAATCGAGTGCACCCTCAGCAAGTTTGCTGATGACACCAAGCTGAGTGGTGCGATCAACACAGTTGAAGGAAGGGATGCCATTCAGAGGGACCTCAGCAGACTTGAAAGATGGGCCTGGGTGAACCTGATGAGGTTCAACACAGAAGTGCAAGGTTTTGCACTTGGGCCGCAGGAATCCTAGGCATCCATACAGACTGGAAGGAGCAATCCTTGAGAGTAGCCCTGCAGAGAAGGACCTTGGGGTCCTGATGGACAAAAAGCTTAACATGAGCCAGCAGTGTGCTCTTGCAGCTCAGAAAGCAAATGGTATTCTGGGCTCCATCAGAAGATCACAGAATCACAGAATCACAGAATCGTAGGGGTTGGAAGGGACCTCCAGAGATCATCGAGTCCAA